ACAGTGTGGCCAGCAGGACCAGGGAAGTCGTTCTCCTCCTGTACTGGGCACTGGTAAGACTATACCTCTAGTACTTTGTCCAGTTCTGGGCCCCTCAATTCAGGAAGGACATTGAGGTGCTGGAGTGAGTCCAGAGAAGGGCAACGAAGCTGGTGAAGCACAACGAAGTTTGAAGCACAAGTCTTATGAGGAGTGGGAATGTTTAGCCTGGAGAAGAAGAGGGTCAGGGGAGCCCTTATCACTCCCTACAAGCACCTGGAAGGAGGCTGTAGCCAGGTGGGGGTCAGTCTCTTCTCCCAGGTAACTCACAACAAGACAACAGGACACAGTCTTAAGCTGCACCAGGGGAGGTTTAGATTGGGCATTAGGAGGAATTTCTTCACAGAAGGGGTGATTAGACATTGGAGTGGGCTGCCCAGGGAGGTGGTGGAGTCACCGCCCCTGGAAGTGTTTTAAGGAAGAACTTAACGTGGCACTCAGTGCCACGGTCTAGCCGACATGGTGGTGTTCGGTCACAGGTTGGACTCGATGATCACAAAGATCTTTTCCAACCCAAAGCATTCTGTGCTACCTGGTCAATTCGGCACCACGCGGCTCCAGGGCCCACACACACCTCCCAGCGAGGGCCAAGCGCCTCCCCCCTCCTCCCCGGCAGCCTCCCCGCGGCGGGTGACAACAGCCCGCAGGTCCCGCCCCGCTCCTCCCTGCGCGGGGCGGCCGTGCCCGCTGTCCCCGCCCCGCCGGCCGGCGCTTCCCCGCGGGTTGAGGTACCGCCACCCCGCCGCCGTCGCCATGAAGTGCCACTACGAGGTGCTGGGCGTGAGGCGCGACGCCGCCGAGGAGGAGCTGAAGCGGGCGTACCGCCGGCTGGCGCTGCGCTGGCACCCGGGTACGGCCGCGGCTCCGGGCGGCGGGGCCCGGCCGGCCCCGGCACCGCTCTGCCCCGGCCCGGGGAGCCCCGTGCGGCCCCGGGCAGTCGCCTGACTCGGGTGCCGGGGGCGGCGGGGCGGGTTCGGCCGCTGTGCCGTGCAGCCGCTTACAGCAGTTTCGTTAAATTGCCCTGTAGATAAAAACCTCGAGAACGCGGAGGAGGCGGCGGAGCAGTTCAAGTTGATCCAGGCGGCGTATGACGTGCTAAGCGACCCCCAGGAGAGGGCCTGGTGAGCGGCGCTTGGCCTCGGAGAGGCTTACTTAGGTCCTGTCTCTGCCTGGGCTTGGAATGTGCTGCCCTTGGGCCTTGTGGGAAGTCAGTGCGGGGCATCCATGGGCAGGAGCAGCCCTCTTTAGGCTTTGGAAGGGTTAGGAGCCGTGCAGCCTTGCTGGAGAGGCACAGATCCGCACCCACGCCTTCCTTGCTGGAGGTGAAGGTGTGCTGGGCACCGAGGAGTATTCTGGGACACGCCACTGTTGGCCTCTGTCTCCTCTCCCGGAGCAGGAGGCAGCTTGCACGGTATCACAGGTGCCCCTCTGGTCAGCCCTGCCGGCCTTGGCCAGGGCAAGCATGCGTTCAAGTGTCCTTCGGGTACTGCAGATATTAAGTCTTAATGACGTACATTATGTTTCTGTAACAGTCCTATTCTGAAATACACACACACACACATATATTTAAGAGATTGACACTCTAAATGTCCTGTGTAGCTTGTTTTTCAAATGGTCTGAAGCAGATTACGTAGCTAAAACCACCTGTGCTAAGTTTGTCCTCTTTGAAAATACAGGACTGGTTTTCGGTTTTTATATGCCAGTGTGTGATTTGGGGGTTTTTCAGTGTGTATAGGTATTAGATGATTTAAATAATGTCCTACCTGTTTCTGAAGCGTCTTGCTCAAATGTGATTGATTGCTAGCTGCCTGTTAAAAAAATTACTGCTACAGATATTGCAGATAAAGTAACAGTAAGTAAACTGAAAGTCAAGATAGAATATTTACCGAGCCTGTCTTATTTTTCTCTCTGAAGACTTTGGATGTGAGAGCCAAATTACAGACACTGGGCTAAGCTATACACTGATGTAGTAGATGTACTTGCTAGCTTCCTAGCCCTGGAGAACGTCCCGTGTCTCTACCTCCTGGATGCTGTGAATTTTTTCTAGGTATGATAATCACAGGGAGGCTCTGCTGAAAGGAGGAGTTGATGGAGAGTACCAAGATGATAGTTTGGATCTGCTGCGGTACTTCACTGTTAGCTGTTACTCTGGATATGGAGATGATGAAAAGGTAATGAATTAATTTAAGGTATCAATTTAAATTCCATTATAAGTGTTGTCATTTGTTTTGTATTGAAAAGTTATGTGTTGAATTATTAGCATGGGTAGTAATAACTGGACATTTAGGGAAGCTTTAATTCCTGCATGTTGTCTAATAATTACTTAATCATAATTTCCATCTAAGTCATACAACTGTGAAGTGTGTGTATATTATTTATTTATGTTATATAGTGAATTGTGCCAGAGATTTGCAATACCATCTGTTTATTCGGAAATACTTTTAACAGGCTAGAACGCTTCAGACTACAAAAAATTAATGTAACGAGTTCTTGGGAAAGGTGTGTTTCCTATAAATTAATTTCCTATCTCATTTTTCGAGTCCTTCTTGAATTTTAAAATACTCACTATAAATTAAAAAGGTCCAGGTGATCAGAAGAACCTCCACCAGAGAAAATACTTTTTTGTCTTTGTGTTACTATACTAGGAGTCAGTTAGTAACATATTAAGATAGGATACTTAATAATGAATTTTATATCTGGAACTTCCACAAAACCTGATCCTGTGCAAGTAGAAACTTATCACCATCTCCAGCATGCTGAAAATACTTTTCTTTTTAAGTTTAGATTTGACTACAGCTGTGAGAGAGACAGAGACTACATGAAGGAGACGGAAATAAAAGGCATGCGAGATAATGGAACTTGTTAAACAAAAGGGTCTTCCTGTCAAGAGCAAGTGCTTATGAGGCCTTTACCCTGTTTTTGGGTTGCTTTTGCAGAATTGTAGTATTTCTCTAAAA